TGACCCTGACCTGGCCTGCCATGCCAGGTGCACCCTGAACAGCTTCTGCGCCTGTTTTCTCATTGGTGAGCTGATGTGACCACACAGTACAGAGTGAGGGTGTGGGAGGAGTCGCAGCCTCTGAAATGATGCCTAGTCTCCTGAGCTCAAGAGGTAGGAAGCAAAGAATTTCTCCAGGAGAGTCAAGGGGACTGTGAAGAACAAGGGGCTCCCACCAACCCTGCTCCCCATTGTGCTCCCAGAGCCAAGACCCTCAGGGGTGCCACACAGCACTCTATGGAACCAAGGACCCTAGCCAACCAGTGACCACCGAGTGCCTGCGCTTGTTCCTTCGTTTGTTGCTTGTTTGTTTGTGGTGCTGGAAACCCAAGCCAGGGGCTTCTAAATGCCTGTCAAGTGTCCTACCATTGATCTATACCCTGACTTTCTACTACCCATGCCTCATCTCATCTTTTTTTTTTAATTCTTGCTATTCTCATGCTTATTTGGGGGACTGTTAAGAAGCTCTAAGCCTCATCAGTCTTCAATAAACAATACTACCAAGTCAGTAAGTCTTATTATTAGCACATGCAGTCCAGTGGCCAGTGGCAGCATGTGTCATCAAACTGCTTTTCTGCAGGGAACCAAAAGTCAGGGTTGTTGCAGAGTGATGCTCGAGCCTGAAGACCCTTCCTGTGCTTTATGCAAAACAAGGAACTTCCCCAATTCTTCATTTGGTCTCTTGAGCAGAAGGGTCAGTTAACACACAGTGTATTTGGCAGAAAGAGGCCAACATTTTAAAACCAGTGTGAGTTATTTAAACTCTCACAGAAAAAGTCAGAGGACACTAACTACACCTAGTCCTCTCCTCCTTCCTGAACATTCTGTGTGATTGGGTAATGGTGCGATTGGTACTGGGTACTGGTACTGCATGATTGGTCACTGCTGGCCACTTCTGTCTGCTGACACCAATAACAGACAAGAGAGATTATCTGTTCCAGAGCCACATCTGAGTCTCCCAGAAGGGAGTGTCCACCTGCCTTAGCTTCCTACTGGACTTTCAGCAGATGGCCATCACAGGGTGCCCACAATCACCAGGGAGGGAAGAAAGAGGAACCAAAGACCATTCACACACACACACACACACACACACACACACACACACACACACACACACACAGCCTGAGCTCCTATTTGTTCAGCCCCTATTGTGTATCAGAGGCTCCCACCACTAGTCAGAAATGCTATATGGATGAATACTATAAGGTATACCTCTCCAGGGGAATCAGAAAATAATGCCTGATAGCCTAATGCTGGTTTAGGCAGGAAACTTACTAAAAGCATTTGTTGATAACTATTCCCAACATCAGCCATGACTAGAGGGTCCTTTCTTATACCCCAGTGATGCTCCCCACCCACCCCCACCCCTGTGAACTCTTCTGGCCCAGACATCACTGTACTATGTCCTCACTGTTGATTTTTTTCTATCCATGGGTTTTAGCTTTATAAACCACATCTTTATCACCCCCTTGATCCTTAGGAATCCACCCAGAACACAAAACATTCTGGGGCAGAAAATAATGCCTTAACGCCTAGGAGATTCAACTGTGACTTTAAAAACACATCTATAGGCAGCTGGGTTTAAGCAAGGGTATGGGAACATGTGCTGGAAAAATGACAGTCTTTTCAGTAATGACACTGATAAAAAATGGATGGTCACAAGCAGAGAATGGTGTTAGCTAAAGATGGGTGTCCACAAGCAGAGAATGGTGTTAGCTAAAGATGGGTGTCCACAAGCAGAGAATGGTGTTAGCTAAAGATGGGTGTCCACAAGCAGAGAATGGTGTTAGCTAAGGATGGGTGTCCACAAGCAGAGAATGATGCTAGACAGCTATTTCTCACCAATTTAAACAGACCAGTATTTAAATATAAGACCCGACACTCTAAGAGTTAGAAGAAAATGCAGGAGACATGATTCAGAATACTTCGATGGGATGGATTTTCTAAAAAGGGCCCAAAACAAGAAACAAAGGAAAAATGGGCAAACAAAAAACTGAAACACTTCTACACAGCAAAGACAGCAGGCAACAGATTTAAAGGACAAACCACAGAGTAGGAGAAAGTATTTCAGACTGCATTCCTGCTATGGGAAAATACCCAGAATATTCATATATACACCAAAACTTGAGAAACTCTATAACCAACAAACACCCCCATAAAAATGGGTGGTAGGTCTAAATCAACTTGTCTCAAAAGAAGACACGTAAGTGACTAGCAGATATATTTTTTTATTGGCCATTCAGTTCTTTATTAGACTACCAGGTGTTTTAGACAGACACAGTATCACAGCTTCACAGAGTTAAACAAATGCAACATAAACAAAAGTAACACACCTTAAAATAATATTCTACAACAGAGAAAGAACAAAATAAAAAAAAATCCTGCATTGTTACAGGGTTTTACATAATGTTGAATGCTTTCTATATTCTTGGAGGAGGTCTGGCTGGCTGTCATGGATTCTCCCATGAAGTCTGGTTACTGCGTTGTAACTTGGCTTTTTTTTTTTATGCCGAACGCCATTTATTGAAGGAGGGAGGAGGTCAGATATATTTTAAAAGAGTAAACCTCACTAATCATCAGGGAACTACAACTCAAGAAACAGCCCCTCCTTTCCTAAGAGTGGCTCTCATCACATAGGAGTTAACATGTACTGTGGAGGATATTGAGAAAGAGACCCGTTCGTGTTAGTGGTGGGAACCATAGCGGGCATAGCCACACGAACACAATGGCTGCTCCTCAAAAATGTCAAGAATGGAACCACTGTCTGACCTAGCATTCTCACCCCCAGGTCTGTATCCAAAGGAAATGAAAATCCTTTGATTTGCATAAGTAGGAGACACATCTGCCATGTTCACTGAAACACTATTCACAACAGTCAGGGAACTGAAGCAACCCTGAGTGTCCATCAACAAAGGAATCCCAGAGCTTGGGAGGGAGGGACAGGTGGATTACTGGGGCTCCCAAGGTGGCCAACAAGCCTAGCCTATTTGGCAAGTCCTGGGTCACTGAGAAATATAGTTTCAAAAAAAAATAGTCAAAGGAGATAGTACCTGAGAAATGACACCCAAAGTAGACCTCTGGCCTTCACACTCATGTGCCCAAGCACCCCTCCTCCTACAAAAAATGTGACATGTCTGCATGCTTGTATTTACTGGTATATGGTGAAAAGAGTTACTGGATGCAAAGAAAATGCCAAACAACCTAACTGAGAACAGACACAAGGTCAATGGAAGGATATGAATGTTCTTTTCATATAAAACATCAAAAACTTAAAGAAGGAATTCACATCAGAAGTAAAACACAGATTATTGTTTTTGTTAAGGTTTGTTACATTTTTTGGAAAGGCTGATTAATAAAGAATCGTGAAGCTGGGCTGAGTGGCACACATCTAGAATCCAGCTCTTTAGGAAGTTAGATTAGGAGGCTCAGGAGTTCAAGGTCTGCTTGGGTTACAGAGTGTGTTCTAAGCTAGCCTGGGCTACTGGGAGATATCTTTCTCTCAAAATGAGTAAAAGTAAGGGTTTGGGATATAGTTCAATGAGTGCTTGCCTAACTCACGGGAGACCCTGGGTTCAATACCCAGTGCTCTAAAGAGAGTTTGAGGCCCTTTCATCTTATATTCTTAAAAGTCTTGTGTGACTACATATGTTACAATGTTATTTAGAAGCAGAAACTGAGGCAGGAAGATTTTGCAATAGCTTCTTTCCCTGGTCCAGCAAACATTCAGATGACTTGGGGCAAGAGAAAATATTCTAACATTATGTTTGTACTGATACTATTTAACTATTGTTCCAAAAATTTTAGCTTTAAAAGCAGCAAAAATGAAATGAATGTTTCTCATTCTTCCCCCAGGGGAAGCTGAGGCCAAGTCACACTTGCTACTGGGCAGTACTTTTTCTATTTGTGAGACTGTGCCATTGGCTTATGGGAGAAGCATCTACCATATCCCCTGACAGTAAGTCCCTCTAAAGGATTTCAACTCTGCCAAGTTGAAAGAGTGTGGAAATAAGATTTGCCCTTACATACACAGGCATCGAAAACAGGCATGCCTTTAAGTCTTAGTTCAAATTAAAAACCCATTTAGGGCAACGTGAAAATCGGAGCTTACTTTTTATAGCCCGTGACCTTTGCTAAGGGTGTTATTTTTAAATTCAATAAAATGTCATATTATCTGTCAGAAAAAGAAAAAATGTGGTGCCTATGCCGAGTGAAAGATTATTTATCTGTACAGAAAAAGGAGAACCTGTCATTGGCAACATGAATGGAATTGGAGGCTTTGGGGTTTAGTGAAATAAGTGAGGCACAGGAAGTCGAGCACCATGCCGCCGAGCACTGAGCCATCTCACTTACATATAAATTATCACAAAGTGTATTGTATACTAAGAGCAAGATGGTGCTTACCAGAGACTGGGAGAGGTAATGGTGAGATAATCAAGGGAAAGGTTCTTCAACGGATAGTAAGTCACAGATACCATTTCACAGTACAGTGACCATAAACAGTGGTAGTGTAGTGTGCTTTTCTTGAAGAAGGCTAGAAAAGGGGATTTAGAATGTTTGCAGTACAAATAACTGATAAATGCCTGAGTAGATATACTTTGCGCTGATTTAAACATTACACATTGTGCCCATGTGTCAAAACACCACATGGCACACCATAAATACATATGATTTTATGTTTTAGTTGGTTAAAAACAATAAACACTCCCCTCCTTTCTCCCATGACTTTCTCCCCTAAGCAGACAAGGACGTGGATGAGACAGCAGGGAGGAACTGAAGAGCAGCCCTGCATGTGGCTTCATGACTTTCAGCCCCCAGTTAGTGAGCTCACGAACATGACCACTGAAGATATGTTCGGACTTATAGAATCCTGAGGGTGAGTTGAGAAAAACACAGCATGCAACGGAAATGAACTTGAGATAAAAAACAAAAATCAAGCAAACAAACAAATGGCAGACACCTACGCTCCAGTCCAGAGTCGCTCTGGGCTCCTTCGCTGGACCGTTCGCCACAGGAAGGCCAAGAGGATGTGCAGGAGCCAGGTGCTGGAGGCCTGTCCGGGAGATGGCTTTCCTGCAGCAAGAAAATAAATATATAAATAAATGCATACATATATATATATATATATATATATATATATATATATATGAACACACAAACATGAGAGTCTTGTACAGAGTTCATAGCTCCTTGTGGGGTAGAAACTATACCCGAGTGACAAGAGTGAATCTCCAACATCTGATATCCCTTACAACTGTGCTGAGATACACCTCTGCTAGGATAGCGAGGGATAAATCTCCCCAAATCAGGACACTTGATGCAGCCGCTTTGTAATAGGGATATAGGGACAGAATCTGAAAGCTCAGCTTCTTTTCAGGGTAGAGGGCAAGAGTGGAGCCTCTCCACTTACAGAAATGGACATGGTGCGGATACTTGCGATACTTGGAAAGTAATTCAAGTTTCCAGAGACAACATGTAAGCAAACTTGAATTTTCTCTCCTGCAACCCAACTTCCCAGAGCAGCACTGTTCATGCTGGTTACCAATATGGAAGTCTGCTCTTCCTCCCTTCTAAGAGCATCCTCCTTCCCCATGCAGAGGACCACTGTCCACTGAGCTGAAAGCTCCCAACGTGAAAAGACTGATTTGCATCTGCCAAGGAACAGCCCACATTCCTTCAGCACCCCTCAACACAAGCCAGAGGACCCACAGCAAGAGAAGCAGAGGGAAGCAAGGAGGGTAAGAGCTACTGGGAGTGTAGCTCCCCACCCCCGCTCCATGAGCGTCTCTGAGGGAAGAGGTGCTTACACCAGAAAGATGAAGGACTAGGAGCAGAAGTGGGGAGATGTGCTACACCCTAAAGGGCAGGTGGCCTCTCTGCATGTTCACTGACCTATCCAGACTCCACCCAGGCGTGGAATTGGTGAGGTTAGGCAAGAACAGTAGTTCTCCACACCCAAGGGTGGACATGTGCCACCACTGGTCTCTGTGTATGTCAGAGAGCCCAGCAGGTGTCTGGCTCTCTGAGTTTCTTTTAGGGTCTCTTGGAGTCCTAACCAGGAAGTTCCAGAAACAGGTCTTCAGTAGCTGGAAATTATCACAACAAGCTTGCTGGCAATTTTCCAATGCTCCAGCAGTACACAGGCAACAGGTTTGAGGTATATAATCCCCCAGACTCATAAGGCTGGAAGCCTTAAAGGAAGACAGGTAATTAACAACATCGGTTCTGGCTCCTCACACCAAAGTGTGTTCCACAGCCTCCAGCCATATTCCTATGAAAGAAACGGTGGCTAGGTATGGTGACATGGGCCTGGAATCCAGCATAGCTAAGGACACAGGAGCAAGAGGTTCTGAAGAGAGGAAGTTCAAGGCTATCCTGGGATGCATAGCAAGACCCTGACTTGGAAAGTAAAAGGTAAGTAGACATTCGAAGGTGCTAAGACAGTCTACTAAGATAACAGAAGAAACAAAGGGGTGAGGACGGATGACGGAGGGATACAGAATCTTCTAGGGCAATCCTTCGCTCACAAAAGTTTTCCTCCCACACTGAGGGACCTTCTCTGGCATGATTCTTAGGGTTTTTTCTCTAGGTTCAAAGGCCTCCCCACCAATGCTAAACCAGTTTCCACCGTTAATAAAAAGGTATTTTTGTGGCTTCAGAAACTACAGATACTGCCTTCGGGTCTTCAAGAATCTCCACAACCTAAAGTTAAATGTTTAAAAACTACCACAACTAGAGGCTGGGACAGGAGGGTTATAATTTCAAAGCCCACCTGGGCTACACAGCAAGTTTGAGGGTACCCTGGGCAACTTAGCAAGACTTAAGATATAACTCCATGTGAAAGGCCCTGGTTGAAATATTTGGGGGGGGGGGGGGCAAGGAGGAGGGAGAGAGAGAAGGAAGGGAGCAAAGGAGGAAGGGAGGGAAGGAGAGAGGGAAGAAAAGGAAAAACAACCTTGAGTCTAGGCTTGATCCTCAGACACACACACACACACACACACACACACACACACCCCTAATACACAAGCACGAAGTCTTGGGATGGCTGAAGAACTCTTAAATTTTGGATAAATGAGAGAAAAACACATCTTTCAGAGTTTCACAAACTATCTTAGAGAGTTATGATCAGGAAATAGAAGAGAGAGGGAAAAGGGGCGGAAGGAGAAAAGGAGATCAAGGAGTTAAGGAGAAGAAGGAGGAAGGGGAAAGAAATAAAATTCCACTGTCAGGTCCTGGCAGAAACCTGAGCAAATGAGTTCAGCTCCTGAGCACCTACAGACTGTGACAGCCAAACTTTCATCACCCTCCAGGACTAAGAACCAGCCCCTGACCCAGTAGCAAACTACCCAAACTACCAACTCAGGAGGCAAGGCAGCCATACAACACAGAACATCACTGCGCCTTGAAAGATCAACATGGTATTTCACTGGGACTCCGGTCAAAGCATATCCTTTTCTAGCCTGTGCACAGAAGCAATGAAGTCTTTTTATTACTTCTCATTTATTCCTCATTATGGACCAAATGTAAAGTTGAATTTGTAACATTAACAGAAGAAAGTGGTATATGAAAATGAGTAAGAGGTATCGAGAGCACCTACTAGTCTGTGACCAAAAGCGCATCTTAGAAAAGTAGATTTATGAAACACAGAATAGAAAAATCATAATTAGGAAATACTGGGACCTGGGAAGGTGCTTCTGATTTCAGCTTTCTACTCTTCTAAATGGCAGAAAACCATTTTTTTTCCTAGCAGTTCATACATGTACAGACATTTTCCTTCAAAGAGTACAGGATTCTCATTATATCTGAGACCTCAACTAAAATCAGTGTTAGTTTTCTATACATCCATCATGGTAGTGGAAGATGACATGAAATTCTAGCAGAACCTTGTGTGTGGACAGAAGGGGTGAGGTCAGTTGTTTTATGCGACAATTTGCTCCAATAAAACAATAAATGGGAGTTCAACATTTCGTTCTTTTTTCCTGCTCAGAATCCTCCCAAATGCACAGACTGCAAAGCGTGAAATGCCAACAATTCTATTAACTTCACAACATCACTTTGTGGGGAGTGAATATTCTCACAAGAGCATGTCTGAAAAGAACTGTGATATTAACTGTGAAATAAATATGAAAAGAAAATACTTCATAACGTGGTTCCCAGAGCATAAAGTCACAGTTAATGTCAATTACCTGACATGAAAGACCACTAACACATTTCAAGTACAAAAGCCATCTTACATCTTAAATAGCATTCTATTATTCTCTTTCCTTCACTCAGAAAGACTATAAACTCCTAAAGGACAGGGCTCCATTCATCCACTAATCCTGTTACGTCTAGCCCAGGGGTAGACTCTGCAAATATTCAATAAATGCTTTCTGAATTAATGAATGAACTTGACCAAAAAGCTAAGCAAAACAGCTTGCTGATTAGATCAGGGCTTGAGAAATCCAATTAGGATGATTTAAATAACGACCCAGGCTTTACCTCAGAGACACTCTTTGCTGAGAGGGTCCGAAGTCCTTCAAAGCAGCTCTTTAAAAATAAATGCAGCTGGCCATGGTGGCACGTGCCAGGATTTCAAGCCCAGAAGGCCAAGCAGAGCCGGGAAGGCAGTATGTTCAAGGCCAACTTGGACTGCATACATAGGGAGACTTTTCCAAACACACACACACAAAAAAAAAAAAAAAAAAAAAAAAAAACAAAAAACAAAAAAAACAAGCAAATGAGATAGAACTCACCCCTGAGAAGTCTAGGGAGCAATCCAGGCCTGAGAGTGCATGCTTGTAATACTAGCAGTGGGGAGGCAGAATCAGGAGGATCACCAAGTCAAGGTTATCCAAGGTCTGGACCAAGTCATCTCATAAGAAAAGAAAACAGAGAAAGAAGGGAAGGGTAGGAGGAAGGGAGGGAGAGAGAAAGGCAGGGAAGGAAGGGGAGAACCAAAATCTAAATAATCAAGAAGGGAAAAAAACCTAACCTTGGAGACACTGAATCAGCTCATCTTCTTGGTATGACTACTGAAATATCATCCCATTGTCCTATTTATAAAGGACATATTATGAGGGTATTAATGTTTTTAGACAAGGTCTCACCATGTACCTCTGGCAAGCTAACTGGCCTGAACATACTATGTAGACCAGGATGGTATCAAACTCACAGAGATTCTCTTGCCCCTGCCTCCCAATTGCTGGGATTAAAGGCATGTGCCATCACCTCTGGCCAGGGTATTAACTTTTTGTAATGTACTCACCCAAAGAAACATGTAGCATAAATACTTTTCATAAACAAAATGGAAAGACATGCAGGACTGATTATTCAGCATGTTACCCTGTTGGGATCCATTTCTAAATTTCAATCTACTCTCATTTCAACTCATTTGTACGACTCCCAGATTCAAGCCATGCACCCAACCCACCACTTTCTGAGGAGTCTAATACATGAGAATGAGATTGAACTTCTATGTACTGAGTGGGAAAGTGCCAGAGAATACAAAGCGTGGCTTGGCCAGGATACCTAAAGACCGACAGGAGATACCAATGCATTCATCCCAACATTCTAGAAAGGAGTCAGATACCTAAAAAGTTACTCTGTTCTTGGTTATATTCCCAAAGTGCCTGAAGAGACATCCGGTGGGGCTGGCAATGCAACTCAGTGATAGAGTACTTGACTAGTATGTGAGGCTGTGAGTTCAATACCCAGTATCTCAAACACACATAAAACAGACACGCTATACAGTGTGTGTGTGTGTGTGTGTGTGTGTGTGTGTGTGTGTGTGTGTGTGTGTGTGTTGGTGTGCTTTTCCTTACGTCATGGAGACCTTAGTCACTTTTATCCAAGGCAGCTCATACTGCTTCTCAGTTAACCTAAACAAACAGCCTGAAATGCTAATAATCCACAGAGTGAGAACCAGTCCCAAGTCCCACATAAATGTAAATATCCCACCCGTGATTTATGTAGGGGAACAAGCTGTGTAATTACTTGAGTCAAAGTCTTATTCCATATTGCATATAAATCCAAAGTCGTTTTTGACAATTTTAAATGTGCGTCAACATCTTCAAGGATGTAATTATTATTGA